AAGCTAGGGTTATAAAGTTGATATAGGTTACATTTATAATATTGTCCTGTATTTTGCTTCAGGTGTTTGTTCATAGTAGCAGAAAACAACGAGTTTTCAGTTTGTTCCCAAAAATAATAAAGAACTTCCTGAATATTCCCAAATCTGCTAAACTCTGTCACATTTAATAACTTATTATGTTCTGCAGCAATGAAAACGAATACCAATTAAATCTGCCCAAATGGCAGAAACCTGCCACAAATGGTCGCATTGTTTTCAATAACAACGTGACATTGACATTGGCAAGAGGTATCTTGTCAAAACGTTCCTTTGCAACTTTCATTATCTCCCATTTAAATATTATGTAAATATTTTTATCAGATTGTGTTTTAGTTTTTGCTTTATGTCATTACTGTTTAATTGATTATTCATTAAGTATTTTATAGCTTTAATGTTTTATGTGTGTACTATAAATAAATTATACTTCAGGTAGGTAAACATTCAATCATGCTTAAAAGGAAACATACGTACAAGAACGTTACCTAATCTATGGTCGAACTGAATCAATTGCATTGTGTTCTTGCATCTATTCTAAAATACAATATTTTACAATTTTTTTATTCCCGACTTCTAAAAATATACAAAAATATATTGTTAATTCGGCATAAACTAAAACGCAAAATTATACTAGCAAAGTCCATAAAAGGCTCTTCGTCGTTATTGGGTTAGCTTTTGCCATTCTTCTTCGTATGGTCATGTGAATATGTTTAAAAAAATATATATAATATCGAAGATTTAAAAAAAAAACTTTAAAGCTGTATTTAATTAAGATAATATACAGGTAAGGTAAAAAAGACAAAAAAAGCTTAACTACTAGAAAGAGAAACTAGGATTTTTAAATTATATGAATAAAATTGGGTCCCCGCGGCAAGGTGCCCAAGATACTGGCAGCGTTCCCCCTTTGTATTGCTATGCTAATGCGTTGGGCAAGGTAGCTGCCAGCCCTTGGGTTTCCCAGACAGTCAATTAAATTTTTCGATAAAATTTTGCACAGATGAAGGGCACTGGGGCCTCACGGGCCAAGGGTTTCGACTCCAAAGGCTGTAAATAGGAAGTCGGAGCCGAGATCCTGGTACTTATTACATTTGATTCTTTCCGCCAGCTCAGCTGCGGAGCCAACCCTCTTGCTCATGTGCTGGAGATGGGATGGGGCAAGTGTATCGGCACATGTGGCATCCCACATCAGTGCCCGGCCCATACTCCAAGGGATGAGAGTAATTCTGTCCGGGCGTTTGCCATCTGTTCGCGACATGCCGCTTGGCTCGAGAATAGCGGGCACGTTAACAGTGGCTAAGGCCCGGCGGAAAATGTCATCGAGGGCTGCATGCCGGGAGATACGGCCGGCGCTCAGCTGGCAGGAAAGACTGTGGTGACTCAGAACACTTACGTCTTTGCTGCAAGGACACCGATGAGGGGAGCAAACTGGGACACCAAGACAGAAACCTGCAGCTATGCGAATGGTCTCGACGCTCAGAAAGGTACCGGTACTGGTAGAGGGGAAAGCGTGTAGCCAGTGGCCAGATTTCTACCTGGACGTCGCTTCCAGACGCACTCGGTCTATTGGGGTGCAATGATTCATTAAGTCATTTAAAGTCCTTTTGCACAGAATATTATCCAAGCTCCTTTGAATTTTGAGACAGGACGGAGAATTTTCGTTGAGGCAAGCCTGGTTCCAGACGTTTCTGGACTCAATTAAACACGTCACCTCGCAGTATGTTGGCGGAAGCCTTAGGATACTGCCTACGAGGTTGACCGTGTTGTAGATTGAGGACAAAAAGGCCGGAAGTGCTTGGCTGATATTCCTGATGCCTAGATCACCATGTCTGATGGGGAGGGTAGCTTGGGTCCAGGCATTATGGGTGAGATAGACGTTGAGAATGGATTCAAGAAGAGCTTTTAGGTCAGAATGTATTGACATCAGCTGATTATGGAATTTCCAAGCCCGACAGCAGCAAAGTACGTATGTAAATTTACGAACGAAAAGGCAATATTTTAAAATACAGATGGTATAGTGGGTATCTAGGCTCAGAAGCCTATCTGTACATGGGTTCATCTTTGAGATTGAATTTTGGAAAAAGGCTGGAATTTAGTCATCGAATATAGGTGCACCTAGGAAGCTAAGCTTGGATTCGTCAATGGGACGAATGTTGGGGGCAAAAGTATTAAAATTTGGAATGATTGTATCCCTGTTGGGATAAGATTGAGGGATATAAAGTTCGCATTTATCAAAATTTAATTGGAGGCCAATGGTGTTAAAACTGTTGATGATTTGGTTAAGGTCCGAAAGTACGATGTTTGCAGGGCCTCCTAGGGTTCCATCATCTAGGTACCAGACTTTAAGATTTGAATACAGATTTTGGATGATGGGATGGATGGCGAGACTGAAGATGGCAGGCCCCAGAAGATCGCCTTGCTGAAAGCCCACGGCAGATGATAGTTCATTTGCCCTGTAAACTAGTTTAGAGGGCTCACTATAGCATTGAAGGAGGTAATTGTGAATCTCTGGAACGTGTAGCTTCACCTCGTTCAGGAAAGCATCTCTATCCATCCTTTAAAGCTGTTATCGGATGTTATATACGTGATCGAACGTGTTTCTCACGCACGTTTGTTTAAGCTCTACATTTGTATTTGAATCTATACAAAATGCTGCTTTTTGAGCCCTTACGGCGCCATAAAAACGCGTCGTCTACGTGAATACTATTGTGCTACGTGCATAATGCACTTACTAGGAAAATTATTTGACCTGTTAAATACTTTTGTCAAAAGTTCTAGTCGTAGACTGACAGACGAATTTGTTTTATTTTTTTACATCTACATCGGAAACCCATTACGTCCCAGTTAAGTGCGGGAATTCATCTAAGCCAATAAGTTCGCAACCTAGAAAAATTAACTATGATGTACTTCACAATTGCTATAATCACATAACTGGCTTATGATCTCAAAAGTCTTAATATCGCAAGCCCTTTCGATGGCATTTGAATTAAAGACATGCCTCTTAAAATATGTGTTTCTATTTACAATTCTATCTTTGTTACCTAACTGCGGTTGGTTACTTTTTGTTTTTATTTTAGTGGGGACCCTGAAAGAGGTGCAAGATACTGGAGCCACTATTATAATAATACTTTACCAAGGTGTTCACCTTTCTTTGTGGGGATGTGCTTTGGATACTTGATCCACTATTGGCGAGAAAAGAATATTCGATTGTCAAGGGTAAGTTTTGAACCTCAGTTGTAGGACTGGTGATGGAAAGGTGATAATTATTTTAGTTTACTCGATAACGTTTTAGTACAAATGTTAATATTATTCTTGCTACACCACGAAAGAAAACTGCGCCTTGAATTTCCTAGAATAGTGCCTTAAATTTTGACAGTTTGCAAGACAGTCGTAGTAACCAATGATGTACCTTTTTAAGCCCCATGCATTTTTTCTATTTTAAACCAACTTGAAAATAGGAGTATGTTCTGTGTTCGACTGTATTTATTTTTTATGTATGTAATCGGTGAACACCGATTTCTTCGTAAATTGTAGACCGATTTTGATTTTTTTTGTTTGTTTTTTGTTTTATGTTATATATATAT